TTTGAACGGGATTATTGTTAAAAAAGAATTATTTTTCTGTCTTTAGTTTCATTAGTGAACGACAACTGTCGTCCAACATTTATTTTCTCAAGGGATTAAATTAAAAAATCAGTAAGCTTTGCATCTGTAAAATTTATTGAAAATAAGATAGCAAAACCAACACAATGATACAATTTATTCCAGTCATTTTATTTTAAGTTACATATTAGTTAAACTTCTTACAACTCATGTTGTAAGAAGAAATAATTTCTATATAACTGTATACAAAAACATTAAGATAAATAGTTTTTATGCACGTGTTATTAAAATATGTTCATTGAAAGGTATAGTAAAATATTCGTGCTTCTTTTTTAGTACATTGTTCCGAGAATATAACTCTTCCATTGTTCCAAGGTCCTACTTCTAGAAACGAAAATTTATATAAGTGGAGTTGAAAACCTCTCTCTCTCTCTCTATACTGACAATGTTAAATTGGCTTGTTAATTGGTGTACCTTTTCTCAAAATCTGTTACATGTACATGCTTGAAAATTTTCATGCAATTAAAGTACATCTTTTTCATTATATTAAAATGAGCTATTACCTAATTTTGAATTTTTTCATAATTTATAAAATATTTTATCAAACCTAATGAAATTTGACCCATTTTTCACATTAAAAAATTTGTAAAAAAGGTTTTTTTTTGAGTTTTTTACAAAAAGTTCATTTTAGTATATATTAGCCATCATTATAATTATATAAAAAATTTACATACATGTGAACTGTAGTTTCTCAGAAAAGGTACATCGAACATAAAAATTTACATTTTGATATAAATTGATTTTAATGTATACAGTGAGGCTTCTAATATCGGCTAGTAAATAAAAAAAATAAAAGGCTCAATTTACAATAAAAGATGCATGTTTTGGTTTACATCAGACGTTAAACTATTAAGCAAAAACGAAGTACTTTGTTTATATTTTTCGCCATTGAAATGGGCGTGGCCCAGTTTCAACGATTTGTTAAAAATAGGTTTTAAGGGCTTCTAATTACCCTAGAGGTTAAAGTAAGGTATTTTTAGAAAAGTTAAAATGTATACAATTTGAAAATGTAAGGAACTCAAATTGTTAAAAAAATAAGATTTTAGCTTTCCAAACTTCTTAATTTCGTATCAGTAATTTGTTGATAAAATATGCAATGGACAGAAGTTAGATGAAATTTTTTAGTTAGATTTATAATTACGTTTTTCGATACAGTCTCAAGGTGAGTGGTTGAATATTTTTATTAATGTTGTACTACAAAGCAATACGAAGGCTAAAAGGGGAATACCGAAGGGGACCGAGTTAATCTAAAAGGACTTAGCAAAAAACTGATCCAGCCTCCAAGAAAACACACCTCCCCCCAATACTCTGCTTTTTTTAAAAATTAAAAATCTTTAATTTTTCTTTTTTCAATACCTATATAGTATTAGTCCACACTCTCCCTATGTATATTTATTTTTTAGTATATATATCTTGTTCAAATTTTCAATAGTTAATAAAATACTTTTTATTCATCCACTCAAGTTCAAATACTTTTTTTTAAACTTGTAGTAGATGGCACTTGATCTTAATACAGTTTTTTCAAATATAAATGCATTAATTCTATTTAATTAATGAATAAATAGTAACAAGCAAAAATAATAGTCAAATACCCTATATAAAAAGAAAAACCGCTCGGAGAATGCCTGCAACGCAATGGATAGCGCATTGGACATCTGATCCAAAGGTCGTGGGTTAGAATTCTACCGGGGATGGCCTGATTTCTGAGAATGAGATTTATGAATGAATAAATAGTAAAAAACAAAAATAATAATCCAATACCATACAGTAGAACCTGTTTTGGGGTGGTCTTTTTTTATGCGATTTTCTCTTTGTGCGATTTTTTATGCACGATATATTTTTTTTATGCGGTGTATGAATTTCATTGGTTTGACGCCACTGTAATGCTTTCTATCTATTTACCAATGGCGTAGGCATTGGTATTTACCAATGTTAGGACTCCCCTCCCCCCTGAAAGTCAGGTTTCGCCTTTAATATTTTATAAATTGGGTAAATACGTATTTAGCGTTAGTCAGGCCTTGGGCTCCTAGAGTCCTCCCCGCCCCCCTGTGATGCGGGGGTGTACGTTACGCCACTGAAATGTAGACACTTCAAGACGTTCTGTTCATTTGTTATAAACTGTCTCCCGAAAATGTACATTCAGCTGCTTTGTCTCAACGCTCCAGCAGCCCGCGCTTGATTGAAGACGAAATTTTCAATGACAGTGACATTATCAATAATTTGATAAATTTTGAAACCGGACAAGAAGAACCGGATTCTTTGAGAGCGGATACAAATATGCAGGGATCCAGCTTTCTAACAAATTGGAAAAGCATTTTCTTAAATTAGATACCAATTAAGAAAGGAATGTAAAATTCCAAAAAGGTCTTCAAACATGTATAGCTAGTTATCGTGACTTTTACAAGCAACTGACCACCCGACCTTCGTCACAAAAACTTATCTCTCACTTTATGTTGCCAAAAAATAAATCAATTGAAAATGCACCTTCAAGTGACGAAAGCAATTTTGAACTTATTCATTAGAGATCTTTGGATTACGATGAGTAGCAATGAATTATGTATGTGCATTTTGAAAACTTATCCGTATATACAATGAGAAACTATATATTTTTAAAATGTTCCATGTGTAATAGTTTTAATTATTTATTTTGTTATGGAAGTACTCTTACATAAATTTCGTAAATAATTGGCATATTTTATAAATGCGACCTTTTTTATGCGGTCCCTTTCCACCGTATAAAATGTTTTTGTAGTATATTCACGAATTAGTTTGTTTTATGTAAGAATTTATGAAATTTTGGAATATTTTTTCTTGTGCGTTTATTTTTAAGCGGTCCTTATCTACCGCACAAAAACAGGTTCAACTGTATATAGAAAGGAAAATTTCTTTATATTTTGCCACTTAATATTGTGATTCTGTCATATATATGTACATATTTTTTTAATTGTAATTATTTAAGAAAAAGAAACTATAAAATAAAATTTTTCTTTGTTGACCTAAGTAGGAATTGACTTAATTTTTTTTTTATATTACTTGTTTTTTCTGCTATTTGCATCTTTTTACGGGAAAGAAAGTATCCGCAAAAGTCAATGTTGTTCACAATTATGACACTCTTATTTCAGCGTTAGAAGTAAAAATTTAATTTATCATTCAATAAAATGATACTGTTATATATCTTTTTTCATGAATCAAAATAACAGAATAAAACTACAAAAAGTTAATCATTTATGAAAATAATCCTATACAAATATTTAAAATGAAGGTTATTTTTTCGGGTTTCAAAAACTAAAAGTTGTGCGTTATGTGTCTACCTTATTTGAATTTAGTCTTCTGTTGTTTTAATCAGTTAATATTTTTATTATAACTTATGTCATTTATATATTACTAATGGAATCATACAGCATGGTGAAAATATGAAAGGAGCATCATACATAGACTTTTCTAAAATATGCAAATGATTAACACTGCAGTTTAACTATTGCCTCGCAAATGATTAACATTGTACCAATCACGCGCACCAGCAGCTTTATGAAAAGAGAAAACAAAAGACTGCATTTAAGTGCCAGAAATGTACTTCCTTACACTTTCTTTTTTCCACGTGATGTATCAAAATACGTCATAGAAAAATGTGGAAATCTGTTGAATAAGTTTCTGAATTTTACAAAATAAAAATTATGGTTTATACCAATGCTTCTCAAACTTTCAATACTTGCGACCCAATTTTCAATTATAATTTTCATCGCGCCCCCTTCCATACAAAAAAAAACAATGTATTCGAATTCAATAATATAATTTGACTTAAAGCTACATATCGACTTTAATTATAAATTATCGTTATACTTGTCTTGATAATTTGTAATTTAATTTAAAATTACAAATTATCAAGACAAGTATTATGTTTTATATATAATTTTATGACATGCTCATAGGGTCACTGATAATTATTAAACTTGTTCTTAACTTAGAACTTCTAAATTAATTAAGAAATACATTGTGCAACACTGATACATTTATAAGTGTATTATATCAGTGTAATGTGTATTTTGTGTTTTGCTTTCTTTCAGTAAATTAATAATTTTTTTTATTCTTTTGTTTTCGACCTTTCGATATACTAGCTCCCCCCTTGTAGGTTTAAAAAGCCCCCAAGGGGGCGCGTCCCACAGTTTGAGAAACACTAGTTTATACAGACTGTGGATTATCGTACGAAAAATCAGAGCTAGTATTAGAAGAAATAAATCCTCAAAGATGTAAACAGTGATGTAAATCTATAGTGAATATGAATAAGGGAAGTATCAACTAGATAAAAGGATTGCACTAGCCTGCACACACCTACGAGCTCGAGGAAAAGTATGTCGTGAGCACAGCAATGTCAGGTCTCAATGCAACATCGAGAACTCTTGTGTTAGAATCTATTAGAATCTATTGCACTACTATCTGTGTCAGCCCGTAATCATTCTATTTCATGTGCAGCAGAGGGAAATCTTAACAAAGCCTCCATGGGGTTGTGATTAACTTCTACTGTGCACAACAAATGTTGTTGCAAAGATGTGACGTACAAAGGAAAGCCAAGTGAATCATAATGCAATCTAATGGTCATTTTCCGAGTCTGATAGGCCGCAAGAAGAGATTGCTTGACTCTTTCATTAAGATCATCATAGCGATCTTTCACCTGATGTTAAGTTAGACTTCCGAGTATCATTCGACTCTACTCACGAATCTTGTACAAATTTTCAATTGTTAATAAAATACTTTTTATCCACCCACTCAAGTTTAAATACCTTTTTTTAAACTTGTAGTAGATGACGTTTGATGTTAATACAATAATTTCAAATATTAATTCATTAATTCAATTTAATTAATGAATAAATAGTAACAAACAAAAATAATAGTCCAACACCATATATAAAAAGGAAAATCGCTCGTTGTATCTCTGTAGCGCAATGGACAGCGCGTTGGACTTCTAATCCAAAGGTCGTGGGCTCGAATTCCACCTAGTAAGGCCTATTTTCTGAGAATGTGATTTCTTTTTACAATAACATTTTATTGTAATAATTAAATTTAAGTATTGAATAAATAGTTACAAACAAAAATAAGAGTCCAAAACCATATATAGAAAGGAAAATGGAAAATTGCAAGGAAAATCGCTTTTTATTTTGTTACCTAATATTGTGATTCTGTCCTATGTATATACATATTTATATTAATTGTAACTATTTAATAAAAAGTAACTAAAATAAAATTTTTCTTCGTTGACCTAAGTAGAAATTGACTTTTTTTATATTACTTGTTTACAGGAAGTACACAATGGCAACTAGACGGGAACAATTTACAAGAAAGTTTAAACATACAGTTTTCATTTACAGGCAAGTATAACTAAAATTTGTTATAAAATCGGAATCATACTGTTTCAAAATTTTTTCATAGTTCACCACTATTAAGCTAGAATGACGCTACCCGAGCCGGTAGCTCTCTCACCTAACTTCTAGAACTGGGGTGGGCATTACGGCGATAGCGATCGACCGTTGGACCGCAAAGTCATTTTGAGGGGACCGCCTGAAGGTTTTAGCTGTTAGTTGTGACTTTTTAGATGTTAATTATGTAGAGAGAGAGGGAAATATTCAAGATTTGTTGAAGTACGTAGGCTATAAATAAGTCTTCTGCTGACTATAACAACAAAAACTAAATTTGATAAAAATGCTTTATTTATTTATTTACTATATATTTTGAATTGTGTGTTTCATAACAAACGCATCATTTCATATTATTATATTTGTGGCTATTATTATTATGTTTGTATCTTGCTTTTTGCCTTAAACGCGGTTTTCCAAAGTGTAAATTTTTTTTTATTTTAGTTCTGTAGGTAAGTACACATTCCGAATTTATTATAAGTTATAAAATAAATATACTGTAGACCTTTTCCTATCTCACCACCCCCTACGACACTGGACATTGGAGCAAACAAGAATTTTTCAAGGAAGGGGGGGGTTGAGGGTTGAAAGTCTACCATTCTCGTATCACATACCGCAATAAGCAGCCAAATATATTTTTTGATTTTGTAGACTGTCGGGAACAAAAATAAGTAAAAAATAAATTACTGAATAAATAATCAGCATTAATAAATAAAAAAATTATTAATAGCAAATAGTTATGTTTCACGTACTATATACATGGGATTAAAATCAATTGGAAAAAAATCAAGGGAGGTTCCGGACCCATGCCCCCCTCCCCCTTGTGTGCTTCACTGACACTGGGTGGACAGCAACACTTTGATAAAATTAGAAGTAGCCCGCGCGCGTACCCTGAAAAAGTCTGCCCACCCCTGTTCTAGAATATAACAACTGGGAATTTTAATTCCTACAGATGTAATGTGTATCAGTTCTTTTAGCATGGTGTACCTTTAAAGTGCAACATCCAATTCGATTGTAAAAATAGAAATGGCCACGAGTTCGAGAACATGACTACTTGGCTATCGCGGTCACTGTGGAGATGGGAATGTTAGTTTAGGTTTAATCTGATATTTACTCAAATTATGAAACGTATAAATTTTGCCAAGCTGCATTCAGAGTCGAGAAATATGTTTCTAGAAGCCTTTTCTGTGGTATAAGATCCGCGATTATGCATTCCAATTATTGAACAGTAAATACAAGATAAATTAATATATTTTTTTTTATAATTTTTGTTCCCGAAGAAATTTGATAGCACTTTATTCGGAAAACACATTACTACTCAAAATATTTGCGCATGCAATCATAAATACATTTTTTTTCGGTCGGGGGAAAAAAAGAAAGATTCCATTTTAGTCTCTCCTCCAGTCGAAGTATAAAGAGCAGTATCTTGTGTTTTTGACAGTTTCCATTCCACAGTAAATTCAGTAATTTCAAGAGACATTCGCAAAACTTGCAAAATACTTTAATGCATATTTTTCCGAAGTGATCGCTATTTATCAACTCGACATTTCCACTTCTTTGTTTCAAGGACTCTAGACAAGTAAAAAGAAGTAACAATTTACAATGAGTTTTCTGGAAGAGCGTTTTCACGAACGCGCGCGCGGTGACATGTAAGAAAATTGAATTCCAGAAAGAGAATCATTTATTGAAAAAAAAAAGTGTTTCTGTAAATTTAGGAAACAAATGCCAAAGCACTTTGGTAGGAAGAAGGATCTGCTTTAAGTGTTTTTAATTGTTATAAATACATAAAGCAAATATTTTCTTTCGATCACCACTTTTCAGGATCATTTTGAATTCTCTAAATGATTTTTAATTGAAATTTAGAAAATGTTAATTATATTTTTCATTATTATTATTTCGAAATTTAAAACTCTAATTATAGTTCAGCACATCCAATATATTTTTTTGAAATAAATAGTAATGTTTTGAAATGTGCTTTGAACTCTTAATGTGCATGCGCTGAAGTTATAAAAAGTAAAAAAAAGAAAAAAAATCTTTTTAAAAATATTCTGTCATATATTAACATTTGTTACTATTATTTTAAATTTAAAATAATACTTTCATGCGCTATAATTTTTTTTGTCAAATATCTAAGTTTTGCATTACTTAGATTTCTAAACTTTCCTTAAATTTGTAAACTTCGAAATAAAAAATTTTTAAACTAAAAAAAAAATATTTATGCATTTTTTTAAAGTTTTGAGTGTAAAAAGATGAAAAATCTTTAAAAATTCTCTGTCCTAAAACTTACGCTGGAAAGGAATTCAAAAAATTTCAAAAATATTCTGGTGATCAAACCAAAAAAAAGTATTTTGTATTACACTGCCGAAAATAAAGACATTCATAAATTTCATTAAAAGCTTAGAATTTCCTGTAATGTTCCCTTGCTGAAAATTCTGAAAAATGTTTAAAAAAATGATACTTTAACTTTTAATTGAGTCTTTTTTAATTACTAGTGTTTTGAGGAGAATAAAATACAGCGATATTCTGATTCAAAACTAAATTTGAAAAACTATAAATATATAAATCAAAATTTCAAAAGAATGAAATTTTAAGTAATAATTGTCTGAATGTTAAAACAGTTATATCTTCAGTCAGATATACGCAAACCTTTTACCATAAAAAGATAAAACTCCATAATAGTGTTTGCAATCCCATGCTATATTTTCAATCCCGGGATTAGGATTGGACTATTTATGCAACATTAGCATAGTTGCAAATATATAAAAAAACTGGAAACATAATTAAAAAATTGGTTTAATACTATTATTTATTGAAACAAATCAAAACAAAGCTTAATCCATCACAAAAAACAAAAATGGTACATAAGAAAATTTAAAAAAAAAAACATTTCTTCATTTCTTGTGTTTCTGCAAATAAGCTTTTAAGAAACTCATCCAGCGTTTCATTGTTCAAACGGCTTCTTATTTTTGTTACAAATTGTCCTGTCCAAGAAAAGACTCGTTCAGTCTCTGCATTAGTATGCTTTATTGTCAAATAGGGGTACCGTAAAATCCGGGGTATAACGCGCATTTTTAACACAAAATATAAGTTTGAAATTTACGGGTGCGCGTAATACACCGATTATAAAAATTACAGCTTAAAAAAAAGGAAGATGTTCATAAAGAAAGTAAGACTTCTACATATATCGAAATACTGTTTATTTTAAAGAAATGACTTAGGTGAATTTAAGGAGTTGTAATTCTAGAAATATACTCTTTATTCACACAAGCCTGGGATAATACCTCGAATAAATGACTGCAAAGCGTAAGAGCACTACATTAGTACATTTCAGGTTTCTTCGTAAAAAAGAGGGTGCTCGTTATATGGCGAATATCCCTCAAAATTAAAAAATACAGTTTAAAAGTATAGGTGCGCGTTATACGCCGGATTTTACGGTATGTTCTTTCCAGGTAGTCTTCCATTTTCAAAAAGAGACATTCCTTTTTGAATTTTTGATGACAGTGTCTTAAATCTAATAGGCTGCACTGATGTATATCCCTCTTTGATAACTTTATCTAGTTCTGCTGCACTTAATGGTTTTTGTGTACAAATTGATTCAGTGTTGGAATCAGAATGGGAATCAATTTCAGGTGCTACCTCATTTGAAATAGAAGATCCATTTGCATGAGTTGTTAGTAAAGCAGAGGGATTTGAAACGTCAAGTCTTTCAAACAGGTCCATTATTAATTTACGGCATTTAAATGAAGAAGGAATTTTGACAAAATCTATTCTTGAGACGATGCTTATACCATTCCGTAGGTATTGCAGTAAACCACTTAGATCTGTGCTACGTTCTCCTAAACGAAGAATCAGAGTTGCATATATTTTTTTTACCTATAGCACTTATAATTACTCAAAAAAAAATCGACGTACATATTTCATAAAAAAATATATAAATTTATTGAGAGTTAAATTCTTAGAAAATTTTGACGAGGAAAAGATTTTAAAATATAATTCAGAAAAAATTAAATCCGGGATTAGATATTTTAATTTCGGGATTTGAAGAAACATAGGGATCCCGGGGCTGCAAACACTACTCCATAATTCTGCAATATAAAACAGTGATATACTTTATCAGAAGTGCGTAAGCTATATATAAATTTAGAATTGGAGAAATTAATATCTAAAATATAATATCTAACAACCAAAAGTAATTAATTATAAAAATCTTTTTATAAGCATCCAAAACAATGATAACCATAGGATAGTATTTGAGAATTAAATTGTCAAGAAATATTCTTCAGAGAAAGCAAGTGGGTGCGATAGCCTAAGGGTCTAAGTAACGGACACATGGCCGCAGTGTAGTGAGTTTCCAGCCTAATACCGCTGAAGACCCGCCATGTAGGGGGGGGGGGAGATGCCCGTTAAATCTGTCGAGGCTCAGACGTACTCCTGTTGTGATGTGGCGTGGAAGCTAGGAGAGGGGTTACCAGTTCAGGTGCCGACCTCATCACTTGACCATGGTTCAAAATTACGAGGTTCGTCGCTAAAAAAGCTCTCGAACACATGAATAGTTCGACGTTAATGTTTACTCACTCACTCACTAAAAAAA